TAACACATTAAAATCAGTAAAAAATAAAAAATACAAGTGATAAAATACACGTAGAAAAACAGCTAAAAGAGGAATTGAAAAGCAGAGTGCGATTAGAAAAAAAATAAAAAAATAATAATTAAAAATAATAAAAAATAAATAATTAAACATTATATATTACTTATGTCCTATGTTTATGTTTATACTGTATATTTTTATATTTCCTACACTGTTTTTTTTTTTTGCACTGCTATTGGAGTTGTCTTTTAATCTTAATCTTAATCTTAATCTTAATCTTAATCTTAATCTGTGTATAATGACAATAAAATTATTCTACTCGGATCTGCAGGCAGAAGTCTTTATATACAAAGCCCAGCACAGAACTGCAGTACCTAGATCAGTAATGCTAGTACAGTCAGCGCTCTATAGTGTCAGATCCGCTCTATGTGTCGAATCTCTATCCGCCGTCGCCGTGGATCTTTTTACGTCAACCGGAAGACAAGACGAGCTACGTGTCAGGAAAAAAGGAGAGTCCGCTAACAGGCCGCCTGAAGCTCACTCGTCCGGACTATTTGAGCTGTTTTTACCCTTCGTGTGGACTCGTTTCGTCTCGCAGCATCACAATAAGTGCCCGTGCTGTTGTGAGGCGACGATGTTGACCAAATTTGAAACCAAGTCGGCCCGTGTTAAAGGTAAGAGAGCACCAGCTGCGGTTAGCACAGGAGCTAATGCAGGCGAGCTGACTCTGGTCGTTTATCGTCCTTTAAAGTGTCTTTAAAGTGTCTTTAAATGAGCTAATGGCTTCATTCAAAGCAAAAAGAGGTTTATATATCACAACCTCTAACTTTAAATCATCTGTCGGGACCTTTTGATGTGTGTTTCCTTGTTGCTGATGTATAAAAACAGCTGACTTCTCATCAGCTGCAGTCTAATAATCCCTAAATATCCTGTTTTATAATGATGTTGTTTTATATTTCAGGCCTGAGTTTCCATCCCAAGAGGCCATGGGTTCTTGCAAGTTTGCACAACGGAGTCATCCAGCTGTGGGACTATCGCATGTGCACACTGATTGACAAGTTTGATGAGCATGACGGTAAGAGCAGTGATCTGACCGATGTGAAACACGTTATTGTCAGTGTTATTCCACCCTGTTCTTCGATACCTGGTGACCGATCAATAACTGATGTGTCTCGATCAACAGGCCCCGTCAGAGGAATCGATTTCCACAAGCAGCAGCCTCTGTTTGTGTCTGGTGGAGATGACTACAAAATCAAGGTGTGGATCATTTCGCACTCACATGTTGCCTCATAGAAGTGTTGAAAGGTTCAGATATTTACATTATATTAAACATCTACTGTATCAATAATACACATAACTCTGAGATTACATCTATAGGTATATATATATATGCACTGTTACTATTGGCTGCTATTTACTATTTACTGTTTTCACTTTTCTTTTTTGCACTACCATAAGTATTGTATATTGTATATTTTATATTTTATTGTCTATCTTTTTTATCTTTTAGCATTAGTAAATGTCTTGTCTGTTGTGCCTGTGCTATCTGTTTCATCGTGGGAGAGTGAGAAACGTCCTCTCGATTACCTTATGTGTCTGGTGCATGTGAAGTAATTGACAATAAAGCTGACTTTGACGTTTGACTTTGATATTCTCAGTAAATGTTCCTATTTTGACCAGGTGTGGAACTACAAGCTGAGACGCTGCCTCTTCACTCTCCTTGGACACCTCGACTACATCAGAACCACCTTCTTCCACCACGTGAGTTGTTAAAAATGCCATTTAGTCGCTGATTTCAGGGTACAGAGCGACAAGGACTTGGTGTCTTGTCATCCGTACGGAAAAGTAAATCTGAAACGAATGAATTTATATAATATAATCATTTCCCTCTCTGTAGGATTACCCCTGGATTCTGAGCGCCTCAGATGACCAAACTATTCGCATCTGGAACTGGCAGTCCAGAACTTGTGTCTGGTAAAACACACTGCATTTTTTAAAAGTTATTGTTTAGTAATACCAAATAATTATGCATTGAGGATTTACTTAGATTTAATATCTTGCACAAATCATGTCAACACCCCAAACAACTGCTTAACAGACTTTCAGGGTCATAATGATCCTTATTGTCATGAAGAAAAATATTAAGATGATCTGTGACCTAAAATATCTTGACTATGTCCCTCCTTTCCTCTTCATCCACAGTGTGCTGACCGGCCATAACCACTATGTGATGTGCGCCCAGTTCCACCCCTCTGAGGACCTGGTGGTGTCCGCCAGTCTGGACCAGACCGTGCGAGTGTGGGATATTTCCGGTGAGGGCCTGGGGGATGGCAGACCAGAGGACAGTGGGCTGGGTTGAGGAAAAGGGTGGGAGGGCAGTGTGGTATTGAGGATGAGGAAGAAGCAGGAACCGGATCATAATCAAGTCCTGCGAAGCCTCTTCTTCCTCTCCTACTTGTAGAGGACAAATCTCTGTGGGCTGTTTGCAGAAACACCTCTCATTTCAGGAAAGACAGGCAGGGAATGTATTGTCCGGACACATTTATAGTGCGGTATTTGTTAATGAAATACTGCACTATACATACGTGTGCTGAATGAAGTAAATGAAGATCAGAGAGATGTAAGAAGTCGAATATGAAACGAGAGAGGTGTTTCTGTGCCTCTGCATGCTCTTAAAATCTTTGTTGTTGGTGTTTCTTGTCTTCCCACTAACTGGCTCACACCTACTGTCACTTTCTAACACGTGAACATGCATAAGATCGCTCTGTAACTGTTTCTCCTGTCTGTTTTTTCATGTCTTTATTTGCTTTGACATTTTCCAGCGTTGAGCATGATTGCATTATCCAGTTTTAATGAGCTCTTA